CCAGCATGGCTGGCTGGGGAATTCTGGGAGTTGAAGTCCACTCATCTTAAAGTGGCCAAGTTTGGACAACACTGCACTAGTCTGTATCACGTTGGCCAGCTGGATGCCTTTGGGAACCTCACAAGCCTGAACTGGAAGAGGCTAGCCACTTTCTACAGCTTCCCGGCTACAAATATCTATACCTATATTGCCTATAATTCAGGAGGGTGGCTATCAATATTAGTAGCCAATTTATAGTTTGATCCTCCATAGATCAGTCTAATGTGGGTTGGGTGGCATATACATTTCAGATATAAAGAAAACCACCCAGATTGGGTGCTAGTTCCATAGTTTAACTACATGCTGGGAAAGGGGGGCAGAGGGAGAGAGAAATGTTTATGTTAGTCCTGAATTTCTCTGCATAGAAATAAAATGAGTAATAATGTCATCGGGTAGACTTTGGAGCAGTTGGCCATGGCCCAAAGCACTACGGTACTTTACACTAGTAATTTTGAAATAATTAAAGTCCCATAAGACCAACAGCTGCCTTCATCCAACACGATGATTAAATTGTAGTTTTAGGGTTTGCGTTGAGCACGGTATGTGAACTTCAGCCAGTCTGGTTAAGCCAAGCTCAGAAACCACAAATTACTGAGTTTTGTAAATGCAGCCTAGAATCTAACATTACTTAACTCCACTATGAGATACATCGTTCTCTCCCCAGAAAGGTGAGATTTCAAAGTTTCAAGAGGTGCTTGACCTAGAGGTGACACGGCTGGGCCTCCTCTTTAAAATCCACAGCGTTATCATAAAATCCATGCAGCTGTTAAATTAGTCTGGAAAACCTGACTTGCTGCCACAAGGAGCATGATTCCCCTTCTCTTCCCCCACCATCATACTGGCACAATCTGGTTCCTATGTTTCTCTGGATATATGTTTATTTTGCACTTGAAATCCACCTCGCTTAGAAGCAGCGGCTTTTACCTTGCCCGTTGCCCATTAGGTCAGGGAAAGGGAACATCTTGACATGTTTGCTTCTTTGCTCCATCCTGCAGCTCAGCATAACCTTTAGAAGGATTTGCAAACAAACTCCATCAGCCTAAACAACACACACACCCTCCACAGCAGAATAAATGCTGGATATGTGACTAATGAAGGACAAAGGAGAGTCCCAGCAACCTTCCTTTAAAATCCATGCAAGCTGAAGGCTGATATATGCTGGCTGAATTCTCATATTGAAGTAAGTCATAATGTGGTAGATAAGCCATAGTTATGGTTGGGCAAGCTGTGAGAAATTAGCCAGTGGTAATTTCTTCAATAAATCATGGCTTAGCACAAGAGTGAAAGACTTGATTTTGGGGTAGGAGGAAGGGTCCCAGGAGTTGGGGAAATAATGCAAAATGTGTGGGACCAGGATGTTCAAGGAGGATTCCATTTTGGGCTGGAAAGCAAAGGTTTATTGCTTAAACCACCTTAGTACAGGGATGGGAAATAGTTTGTTGCCATATTTGGTGACTTTTGCAGGGTTTAGGTCCTTAGTGGGTGCAAGATGGCTAGGATTGCTTTGTGCAAGTGGGAAACGCTATTTTTTAAAACATTTCTTTCACAAATTACTCCTATTTTAGGCTTACACTATAGTTTGCATGGGTTTTCTGCCTCAAAATGATGGGAAACCAACATTTGGCAATGTAATTGTAGGTATGCCAGGAGATACAGATAGTGTCTGGGGATCACAGCTTGCCCATCCCAGACCTAGCAGGAGTGTGGACATAGCCCTTCTCAGCTGTCAAGCCCTTTGGAGTGGGCAAATTTAGGAAACAAGAACCACTTGGATTTCTGAAAAGTTCTTTATTGCTAGTAGGGTAACTTAACAGAATACTGAAAGCCTGCTAAAGCAGTTCTCCAGATCAACTTATACCTAGCGTAATGATAGTGGGATTACTGAGTCTCTTTCTCAAGGGAAGCTTTTCTATAATAGCCTACTCCCTCCTCTGCTTTCCCAGTATGTACAGAGTAAAAAGGATGGCCTTGACAAATGGAGGAAGATCTGTTACCAAGGTAATGATCAGATAAACATGGCTTGAGCCCATACCAAGAAAGAGATTTACAATGATGCCTGAGACAGGTTCCCCTCCCCCCCCCACCAACCAAT